AATTACTCATATCAAATAAAACATTGTATTTTTGCAAATGTCCCTTGTATTAGTTAGGGGTAAAAAAAAATTTAATATATTTTTTCAATATATGTGAACCAATTTAGAATGATAACTATTTTGAAAAAAAAGAGTAAAAGCATAATAGATATCTCTTTAACCAACAAAACATAATGGAATAAAGTCTAGGACTTAAAGATTGTATTGGGAAATAATAAAGTTTAATGTGTCTTAATTTTCTAAATTTCTTTTTTTTTTCCTTTTTGGTTTCGGAAAATTAAAATTAAAAATTATCAACTAAAGAGGCTAGCTGTGTGTCCTCGTATATTCGTTTAACGAATTAATTAATGATTGGACCCAACTTGAAGTCGGTTTGGACTTAAATCGGTTGTGACTGAAGTCGGTTATGTCACATAACCAATTCCGATTTTGTTTGGAGTTCGAGAAAAATTCAAATTTATTCTGATTAAAGATCAGTTTGGATTTCAATATAAATTTTCAAAGACAGTTAACTAGGTGTAGTAGACAATAGAACAAAATCTGATCATCATATATAACAGTAAGATTTTGATAAATATTCTAATTGAATGCATAACAAAAAAATATTATATAACTAAAATACTAATCGAAAGTTTCCCATGTAACAAAATTATAACCATTAAATCTAAAAAATTTAGTTAGTGTTGGGGTTAGATTCGTGACCAAATCCGGCCCACCTAAAAGCTCAGGTCAAACCTTATGTGCACGATATGTGGACTAGAATCAATGGACCTGCGGCCCAAACCCGAGGAGTTAGATTCCGTTTGTCTTAAGGCCCAGAATAGCCTCGAAAGGACCGAGTCAACAGACGCGGGGATAACGAGCTAGGAACGAGTCAACGGGGCAGTTATCTCAGTCTTGTAAGCGAGATCTACGGGGAATATGCCAAGAACGTGCATGAGATACGCGGAACCGCCCTTGGGACGTAGAGCTGGATCGAAGAGGTGAACGGGGCTATAAAAAGAGGAAGTCCGAGTAGATTTCGCCAACTTTTTACACACACGCGAGAGCTAAACACTACATTTTCAGCTTGTAATACGTCTCACTCGAGATCCTAATGTATATTCGATTCGTATCAATATAAAAATCCAGCTCCACTCTACTCTTCTTTTAATCGTTGGGCTTATATATATTTCTTAGGACTAAAGTTTCTTCTCCGAATTCACATACAAATACTCAGTGCGAAATTCAGCTTCCACATTTGGTGTCGTCTAAGG